TCAAAAGAATGTGTAGGAGACCTCCTTTTCTTCAATTTGATTCACACCAAGTCACATTTCTTAAAGATTTAGGCTTTCCTGAATTTATTATTTTGTTTCTGGTACTTGTTATGTTTGACGATTTACTTCCTCACTTGTTCACTTAAGTTTTGAATAACTTTGACTCTATCATATGCATCAATACTATGTTCAATAGATGAAAGTAACAGCACTAATTCCAAAGGTATGAGAGGATTTTGCCCGTATACAATCTCAAATGGGCAGCAGTTTGTCAATTGGCTAGTGGATCGGTTGTAGGCAAACTTAACAAAAATATCAAATCTCACTACTTGATATTCTTGCTTATAAAGCACTTGAGGTTTCCAAAACTCTAATTTACCATCCCATCTGTCTATGAATACGTTGCTGAACTGAATTAGAACTTTGAATCTAGCTTACCTCATAAAATCCTCTAATAATGGCCCCAAAACTTCACATTTATGTATGAAGTGATATTCCTAAGTACAACATGAAGGTGAACTATTCTTTGAAGTACAAATTCGAAACTTGCGAGATAAAAATCATTTTAAGATAAAATACAAAATATTCCATCTTGTAGAAGCAATCCATTATAATCATAACTAAGTCCTTGCTTTACTGTGTTCAGGGTAAGCCCACCATAGTCCATGCTCATATCCACTCAGAGTCCCTAAAAGAGGAAGGATAGGTATATACCTATATTTTGTTCTCAAGTCCTAGTCAAATGACATACCTTGCACTGTTTGATATGCCTCTCTACATCTCGTACTAATCTGGGTAAGTAGAAATTCAATTTGACTAAAGAAAATGTATTGTCCTCTCCAAATTCTCCTACCATACCTCAAAAGAACACGATCGACCTAGGGAGGAAGTTCTGCAAAAGGAGACGCTTGATGAGCAGTTTCGACGTCTGGAAATAAGAATTGAAGACTGCGAGTGCGTGAAGAAGAAGACGAGTCACACAGGAGAGACTCAATTTATCATCGTGCGGGAACTGTCGAATGAGATCAAAGGAGGAGAAGAAGAAGACACACAAACGGGAAGGGGAACCGAGTCTCGCGTGCGGGAAGAAGCTCCTTTGAGCTTTAAGGACAACTAAACGATTAAAGACACGGATTTTAGGGTCTGTTTAGGGCAGCTACAACTTATTAATAAGCTGTTGAGCTGCAGTTGATCTGGATAAACTGGTTAGTTCTTTGGTTTGTGTTGTTGGAAAACAACTATTTTGCAGCCGTTTTTGAATAATTGATCATTCTACCCCTGTGCAGTAATGCTGCTTGCAACAGAACTATCATAAAAAAATATTTGATATTTGAGAAACAAAAAATCACTTCAGAAGAGTACAAAAAATAAGATATACACCCCACCTAACAATTAGTATCAAAATTGTTAGCAAAGAAAAAAAATTATTAAAATTACATTTAAAAAATATGATAATATTAGTTTTAAAATGCAGACGTAGCATCCTCTAGAGATACCATCCATTCCCTCGGTTGCATTTTCAAAACGCAAACACACCAAATAAGCTGCCCCAAACGAGACCTTAATTAAAATTATTTAATAAATTTTATGAACATATATAGGTGTGTCTAAATTAAATGATATTAATAGAAAATTTTACTCAAAAAAGGACTCAAACAAATAGTGATTTCAGCTTGGAAGGACAAACAGATGAAGCATGCAAGTGAGGGAGAAAATCCATTCG